GAACAGATTCTTTTATAAACTTAATCAGCATAGACTTATCTATTTGAAAATTGTTGAAATTATTAGATACACTCTTACCAACAACAGATTTTTTTGCACAGTATCTCCAAAATGAGAGAGATTTATTTCCTCCCAAGGGTAAGCACATTTTTTTCAGCAGTTAACACCGACTCCATCGCCAGGACAGAGCATTGCATTAAAGTAAGTGTAGCCAGGTTTTGGCTGTCATCATTTCTTGCTATTTAGTCTACAGACTGGACGAGAAGGAAGGCCAGTTCCTATCCTCTTCTCTTTGTGCGCGTTGTGCATTATTAAAGTCTCCTCTCAACTGCTACAGCAGAAAGAACATGAGACATTTCCAGGACTCGAATATCACAAGTGAAGGGAGGCTCTTCAGAGAGTCTTGAAATTGTATATGATACTTCAGTAATTTTTGTTGATGTAAAAGCATATATATACACATATGCATATGTAGGTATTTGGAATGTAGCTCAAATCTAAAGCATGACCAGGTATTTGGGCAATAGAATACATGGAGCTATGGATGGGAAGTGTCACTTTGCTCCATGTTGGTGGCAGGGGTGTGTCCTCCAAAGGAAGAGCTCTGAAGACATTTTCCAAGCAGGAATAGTGATGTTTTCCTGCCTCTTTGGCCTCCCTTGGTATCCTTTTTTTTTTTGTTATTCAGCCTCTCAGCTCCTAAGAGGGGGCTGTTCTTCTGTCTTGACACATTCTACCGGCAAACAGTCACAAATACCAAAGAAAAGGTTTTCCATGTCAGCACTCCACTCCTCTCACATTTCCCCCTCGCTCCCCCCAGCCCAAGAATGCACATTTGCTGCACACACACCCCTTAAGGGCTGAATTCTGACAAATATTTAACTGATTTATAGTTAACAAAGTGGGGATTTTTCCTTAAATTAGTTTCCATCAAGTATTTACTTGCTTTCTAAATGCAAATTTAAAATCTGTTTAACAGCAAGGGAGTACAACATTCACCATTGGTATTTCTAAGATAGTATTTCTGCTCTGTGCTGGTGAGAACTCCTGTATTATTGAGCTACTTCAGTGGGTACACCTGCAATAACCATTCTTACTGCAACTGCATACACTGTGTGTGATTAATCTTTTAACTGTAATATATAAGGGCATGTGCCAGAGCTGCAAACCCTTGGAAAAAAAGACAATGGCAACAATGAAAACACTGTATACTAATAGTACCGTTATTTCCACCTGTAATACAATTGCTTTTTGTTATCAAGAAAAGCATGTCCAGTTTGCATGTATGAATGAAGCAACAAAAATGCCATGGTGCCTCATTCTTAAGTTCTCACTTGACACAGTTTTTGTGGTTTTTCTAGGCTAATTTAAAGAGAGAGATATTTGTTATGGGTAAACCTCCTCGTAGCCCAGTGATGACTAAGAGGTCCTGCAGCTCACCTGTCAGAGGTCACAGCTATTCACACAGGGTATGGTACTGGATGCCCAGTGTGCAGTAACAGTATTTCCATAGAAAATTAGCTCAGTGTCTAGTCTTTCAGCATTTTGCTTTTGCCCAAGTGTCTTAACCCTATCAGTATGCCATGTTTTCGTCCTGTTGTGCTTCTGTGCTATGTCTGGGTAAAGCCAACAGGTCTGTGTGTGCCAAAAACTTACTTTATAAATCCATTAGTGTATCGCATCTCAGCAGAACTGCACAGTATTTCCAGTGCTACAAGATGTAAGAGAACAAAATTCTTTAAATTTAGCCTGTTTTTTTTCCTAAATCACTCCTCTGTTTCAAAGCATTTCTAGTTTATTAGAACTCCAGCTTCAAAGAGTCAAGAATTTATACTTCACTACACATATATGGGCTGAATTCTTGTTTTTGAATGTGTCCTTCTTTTCAAAATGTTTTGTTGCTACTACATTATGTTCACTCAATATGGTCCTCTTTATCCAAGCACTGTTATTCCAGACTGTCATACTCTTTAGCCTTTCCCTTCATAGCTCTAGTATAACAGTAACATAACTGTAACCATTTTACCTCTCCAGAAAGTCAGATTGCATGTGTTTCACTCAAAAAGATGATATAAATTACAACAAAAAACCCAACCTTAGCTATATGAGAATGAGAATTTATGGGTTATGTTTTACTTTCAGTTTAGGACTAAATTATTCTTTACATTGGTTTTTTAACATTTAGCTCTTAAAACTGGTAATGGGATGAACTGTTTTCCATGCCGTTGCTGCTGATTTTTAGGTTATTGTCTTTCTGGTGATTCCCTTTTTAAAATTTGAATTTTAAGATATACAGGTTTGTGTAACTTTTTCAAAGTCTTGGCTTTTTGGCAGGCCCCTGTTTGCTAACAGGTATGAGGGACAGTGTCTGCTTCATTACTAAAGAGAGAGAATTCAATCACAGGACAGCCAGGATTCTTGTAGTAGCAGATCAACACCATCCCAAAGAAAGTCAAACAGGGAATATGATCCACAAAAAAAAAGGGATAAAGCCCTATTTTAATTTTATGTGTTACTCCAAACAAATGGCCTGTAATCAAGATATTGAGAGGACTGTATTAGACAACATTTAGTGCATTTATTTCTTTAATTCTAAAACTACAAGAGCACAAATTGTACACCTAATTTGTATGTTCAGGACTATACAGAACTATTATATGCAAGCACATATCTATCATGCATGAAAATCGTGTATACAACTGGGACATTGACTTTTTAATGGTTTTTCGGGAAACATTTTTTTCCCAGGAAACAGGATAGTGTAGTGAACTTGAGCCATAGTTGGAAACTACAAAATCCTAAGCACCAAGAGCTACCCATAGGGTGATGCATTTCGTGATAGCTCTTGAGCACAATTAGCCAGACCTTGTAACAGTCCCCATTCTAGCCAATGCCATTGTATATGGGAATGAGATTTAAAATGGGGAGAAAGCTGCTTGATGACAGCTGGGGTACTATTGAGGAATGCATTCAGATAGAGAAAAAGCTCCAAGGTCCCCCTGTTCAGACATAGCATAGATTACTTCACCCTAGCTCTCCCAGATTCTAATTCCATCAAAGTTTTCTCTGCTGCAATAACATAGTTTAAAATCTTCACTCACCTCAGTTTTCTAGCATCTGTTACTACAGTAATTAACTAGCAATAAAACATTTTAAAGCATTCAAGCATATACAGAAGAAGAAAATACTGACCTACCTTATTTCTTCCTGGCTTGGTGTATGTTTAAATAATTTACAGTACTATTTAGGACATTGAGTTTAACTGTTTGCAAGAAAAATCCTTAACCTCAGTTGAGTTCTCTTGCATCTCTGACTATCTTTGGCATTCAGCTCAGTTACGGACCTGATGAAAGACTAGCAGAGAGTAAGGTCAGATTCCAATCGAAATACGAAGCAATCTCCTCGGTGGAATATTCTCTTCTTGCTTGAAAAGCCAACTGTTGAAGGGCATTTACTGAGAACTATGTAATTTGCAATCTTTAGTATTGGATTCTTCAGTAAAAATTATCCATCTTTCCTGTACACTGGCAGAGAAGAGTTAGATGAGGGAGAGAAGAGAGTCAAAGAGTATAAACAATTTTTTTTTTGGACTTGGAAAACCTCTCTCCCACCCAGCTGTCATTACTATGAATAAAAATTCTCTAATCTACCTGCCTGCATCTTTAGGCGTGTTTTTAAAATCATACTCTACAGACTGTAAAAATTAAGTACAGACTGTTCACAATATTTTCTGCATGTACACATACAAACACAATGAAAATAAATTTAACTACTTCAACTTCACCTGGAGATGTTGGGGGCGGGGACATACTGCTTTTTTAACATTCAATTGATATCATCAGGCTGTAGGTTGTTTACCACAGCCTTCTCTCATGGAAGACTGTGTCATCTTCAAGAGTAAACTGAAGCAGGATGAACTGAAATAGTCAAACCTGGGAAAGAGACAACCATGGAGCAATAAGACAAATTCAATTTCTTCAAGACCAGGTTACAGTCTAGTCAATTTATGAAAGAAAGTGCTATGAGCTGTGTTTGACATCCACACTCCCAAAACAGATACAGTTCCCAGACTTGCATCAGACTGTCAGTCTCTACAGCACAACCACAGGGCATCCTCAGTCAAGAGAGCATGATAACTGCTCACATCAAGAGCTCTCCCAAGCAGCTGCTCCTGCGCTGTTTCTGGCCCCAGCCAGATTCTAATGGGTAGAAGTCAATGTATTTCTAAAAAGGATATGGTTTCTGTAGAAGGTTAATATTTTTCATTTCCATTGCATCCAGATTTATTGTATATTAGTGGTGGGTAATGCTCCATTAAGAAGGAAAATAGTTCCTTTCATAAAGCTTTGCACTGGAAATACAAACTACTTTTTCCTCTGAAGTAAAAGTGTTAACTGTTCTTTTCACGCAATTACATGTATTCTTTCAAAAATTCTATATGCTCTTTGCCTCCCAACAGCCTGCATGGCTTTGTTCTCTCCCTTGAGATAAAACAGCATTAAAGCATAGCATGTTATGCCTGCCAAGTTAGTACTCTGCGTGTGTAATGTAAATTGGTATGTTTGTCTATAAATATTCAAAATTCTGCCATTACATACAGGAGACTTTATTTCTGCTTATCTAAAAATATACTTCATCCCAGGAATGCATAATGTTCATCAGATTTTTCTAATGCTATTTCTGTTTCACAGTGAAGAGGCAGCAGGGTTCTATTCCAACTTTCTACTGCACTATAAATTGAATGGACTGTTGATAAAGTTCACAGTTTTGTTTTAGTTTTTATTATGTCCCCTAAAAATCAGATCTTTAAGCCTGCCAAGGTTTTGCTGCTTGCCCTGTCTCTTAAGAATTTATTGTGAGTTGGAGGTGGGGAGGGGGGAGGGTGTTGTTTTACGCAAGGTAGAATATGACCTCTCAAGCAACGATGTATCATGCCCCTTTCCAACTATTTGGACTTTAGACTATAAATCTTTATTACATTTCAAATAATTTCATTTCAGCCACAGCGCCCTGTGCTTGCTCATGAAAACATACAAAGTGGGGGGGAACCGTAAGTATACTTCTTGTCTACTAAACCAAAAGCTAACATTCAAGCAATAGCTAGCACATCGTCAAATAATTTGTTAACCTGCCAAGTACAATTATGAAGAGATTTCAGAAATTTACAGATAACTGCATGACATAGGAAGTTATCCAAGAAGGTCCCAGAGGGCAAAGCCTTAGTTGTTTAATTTACAGCAAACTCAGACAGACATGCCAACTACAGTTGTCCATCATTTATACTTAAAAAGGATCATAATTTTGCAAAAATAAAGTTTTACTTTTTTTATTCTCTCAATTTTTACATCTCAGCAGAATGCAAATTAAAGATTTAATATTGATTCAACTCATCTGCTTTACTGATGCAACACAAATTATTCAGAAACAGTTCTGGATGTGAACAGAGGGGGGGAAAAAATAACTTGATAATGTTGATTACACGAACACAGGCTCACACTTTTTGGTGTAATTTACACATGCAATTTAAAAATTAGATACAAGAAAGCCTTTCTGAAAACTGGAGAAGAACCTAGATCTCAACTTTTATTTTCACAAACAATGTAAGCACTTGGGATAAAACATGCACAGCATGTAAGGCTACGTTAAAATGCAAGTTCGATGCAAGATTGTTTTGCCTTTTTTCTTTTTTTTTCTTTTTCAGTCTTGCACTCAGGTCCTGCTTCAGTGACTATTGAAACCAGTAGCTATTCTTCCTCTAGCATCAGAACACTTTAGAGTATGCCCTATTAGATGAATTCTCCTAAATGTAACTAAGGCTTAGCATCTAAAAATATTTAAATGTTTACCTGTTAGTCACTTGAAGAAATGGCAAGAGAGAAGAAAAGGACAAAAAGTTACTGAATAACTATACTACAGATAATATATGATGAAAATCAAACATTTTAGTTTCAATCTCACTAAAACCACAAGCTCCTGTTGGTATTCTTGAGCATACTGAAGCACCTAACTCTTGTTTTGTAAGCAATAACTATCTAATTAAATTTGTTCAATATAGCTTCAGTAGTTCATGACTGAAGTTACTTATTCCTAAAATTAAAAATAGTAATATATTTAAATTGCCAACCATTCTTTGTCTTGAATACATAGTCTGTTAGTGTTGTAAATGGTAGTAGAGTTTTCATATTCAGGATATTCTTAGATGATTAGCAAAGAGAGAATAAAATTACTACAAAGGAGTTATTGAAATGGATTATCTAGAAATTACTAAGATTAGATTTCTAAAGTACAAAGAGTGCTAATTGGGAAGTTCTTGTTGCTGTATTTGAGTAAGTGATTGGCAGGAATCCTATTCATGACACATATCTGCAACCCTTGTGCGTTTGGAAGCTGCATTTAATCAGTTTTGGAATATCATCATAGCTCTGCTCTACTGGAATAATAAGCATGACAGAAAATGTTATTGCTGTTTAATTTTTTTGCACAGTTTGTTCTTACTCCTGCTTCACAAATTATCAGAGGTAATTGCTTAAATAACCAGTCCTGTTCCATTTTGTTAGTGTGATTAAAATATAAAATTAGACTTTTCAGATTTGAGGACTGCCAGTCATGAGAAATTACGTTAAAATCATTTTTTTCTTGGAACAGTGTCTTTATTTTTTGGTTTTTTTGTTTTGTTTTGTTTTTCCCCCCCTGAACCAGCAATGTGAACAGTGTAGTTTATTCAAGAAGACTATCATTACACTAAGCCTAGCACCAGTGTGTATATAGGATTTCCAGATTGGACTCTCAGGAGCCAGCAATTTTCCTGAAATAAACATCTCATTTGAGCCATAGAAACTTTGCCTGAGTGATAAAGAACTAACGCAAATATTCATCATCAACACATAAAGGGGGAGTTATTTTGTTTTTACTGGGGGAAGTGTAATAGCATTAAGGTTTTAAAGCCAGCAAACTGTTGTTAAGAGGGTATTATGTTTTGTTTTAATATTTTGAAATTAAAACTATTTCCTTTGTATAACTTCTGCAGTTGTGCCCTGCTCCTTTACATGGAGTCAGTCATAGCTGGCATACAGATGGTGAGAAAAAGAGGCAGATTATGACTCTGCAGGACTTGTGGGCTTTTGCAGCAATCTTCCCGTGGGCTGTGAGCCCAAGCACATTCAGTTCCCCCTATTAAGAGTTTATTGTCTTTTTTTCAGTGCCAAGAAACTCAATTAAAAGCTGACAAGGAATGAAGGATAATAGATTGAGTAATGTCATGCCTCTTTCCTTTTATCCACCTCACTTCCTTCAATCTGCAGCCCATTGCCAGGGTGGAGGTACAAGTCAGTGCTGAATACTGGTTGAGTTTCCATCCTTATGTCCCTTGATTTGATTCAAGCCTTTCCCCTCACTGAGAGAATTTTTTTTCATATATATATTCATTTTATATATATATATATTCATTTTATATATATAAATATATCAGAGGCAGTTTTGACCAGGGAAGGGGTTGCAGCTGTATGTTTCCAAAGAGCAATTACCCTCCACCTTCCCCACAGAGGCAGGCACCTCTTTTGCATGCAGAGCTCCTATCAGAGCCAAGGCTGGCCTTGGCAGTTGCCACTGCGGAGCGCAGGGAGGTTCCCCATCACAGTGGCAGTGTGTGTGAGCCACTCTCCTGGGCACACGTCTCCGCCGACTGCCAGATGCCAGGCCTTGCTTCTGCTGTGTGGCACTTTACTCTGCTGGGGCGGAGAATGCACACACTGGGATCAGCTTTCCAGAGCTTAAAGGCAGAGCCACAGTTTTAGGTGCTGATCGTGGTGGGTTAAGAGGATAGCACATCTACAGACTCCCCTCCAGAGGTCTGCCATTTGGGTGATTCAACTATAAAATAATGCTTAAAAGAAAACCAAACCAGAATTCTGTGTTCAAAGCAACTGATTAAATAAACTGGTTGAGGAGCCATCAGGCTTGCCTTGGGTCCCCAGTCTTTAGTATCTGATGAGTTACCTTTCCGATAAAGCTTTATTTATTTACTGTAATACATACCTAGCCCTAAAGTCCACCAGGCAAAATAAATCTTTTCCCCTATATTTGCAAGCGTTACTTATTAGTTAATGTTTAAACCAGCTCCTTTACTTCAGCAAAGGTGCAAAGACTCTTACTTCTTTTTAAAATGCATCATTTGTCCTATTTAAGGTTTCAGGCTCTATATAACTATACTCCTAGGAACGAAGATGAATTGGAGCTCAGAGAGGGAGATGTCATTGATGTGATGGAAAAATGTGATGATGGATGGTTTGTGGGTATGTTTTAATTTGGTTGCTTTTTTCTTTTTTTTTCCTTATCTTTGCTGCCCTTTTAATAAGCCTGTACCTGGCCTTACCAGGGAAAATCCCAACCAAAATCCACTGAAATTAGTGGGTGATTTTTCACGTGTCTTTTGGGATTGATAGACACAGTTTGACACGTACAGCAGTGTTGTCATTCTCACGTGACACTAAATGGGCTCTGTATTACTGCTCTTTTCATAAAGACCAGGTAGCAGAAAACTTAGTCACAATTACAGCATTGACTACTTGTGAGAACCAAGTATTACCAAACAGAGACTTCATAACTAGGCATACTTAAGGTGGCTTAATCATTCCATAAACTCATGCACACAATGGCTAACTTAGTCATCTGACCAGTCCTCAGCATTTCAAATTTCAAATTATTTAAATAGACTTGATGTTGTTGAAATTAAGTGATTTCTATGTACCAAGGCAAAATTTTAGCACAGATTTTAATCAGGCTTAACAATTTAATCAAATATGACCCTTCATTTGCTTTTTCCTTCCTGCAGTTACAATTTGTTAAAATTCACAACTCCCAAATGAAATTCAGAATAACTTTTTGAGACTATATTATAAAGAACTGTAGATACTTCTTTTTCTGCAATATTAAACATAAAAATTTAAAGGCCTTGCTTACATAGCAATTTCCTGTTGTTATTCCCATCTTTCATTTATTGCTTCTAATTTCAGGAACCTCAAGAAGAACCAAATTCTTTGGTACTTTCCCTGGAAACTATGTCAAGAGGCTGTGATTTTTTTTTCCTACTTATTTATGCTGCATCTCTGCAACACATCTGCATAAAGCTGCTAGAAAACATGCTACTACGCTGGCCTTCTGTTTTCTCGCTTGCAGTCTCAAATAGAGGCCATCTAGTTCATCCTCATCCCATCCCATCCGCCAAACCGTGCCAGCAGTATTACAGCAACGACCGGGACGTGAATAACTGAGCTTTTCTGAAACAAGAGGAATCGTTTCAACTTTTAAATACTCCATGCTTTAAAGTCTTTTCATTTGAAACACAGTAGGAAAAGCCTGATGACAGGTACACAAATTGCCATGGGGGGGAGTATGGAGGGAGAGAAACTGTTCTTGGTTTCAACATTTGTCATACTGTCACGATGTCTGATGGGATTTTTTCAGCATGCATGTAATACAGGGGGAAGTTGCTGTTTACTTTTTTTTTTTTTAAGAAGTGTTTGAGTTTCCACATTCTTATTAGCTTGGCAGCATTTGTTGCTTTCACTTTGCCGTATCACAGGTTTGCCTATTGTACTGGTTTACAATGTATGACAAATTATACTACAGATTTTTTTGCCTGCACTCGTGTGTTGTAACATATGCACAGTGATTGTAAAATCTCAAGCAAGCGTAGTGAAAAATAGAAGAACTGCAAGTGTTCTGAACAGGTGCAATGATATTGGCTAAACCTTTTTTTCTTTTTTCCCTGATAAAGCTGTAGTGTTTTCTGTTAAAAGGTAAAAAGTGCAAGAGGCATAAAACCTTAGGAAAGAGGATTTAATGAAGAGGCAGACAATGATACAAGAATAGGCCGTAATAACTTGCTACTCATGTCTGGCATTAAATGGTTGTAATCAAAATGTTGTAATAGTAAGCAACGTGAAATTTGAGAGGTTAATGGTTTTCATATCACAAGAATTTTAAGAAGCCAGAAGTAAACAGTGTTAGTGCAAAGGGTTGCTGGGGTTGTTGTTTGTTGGGTTTTTTTTTCTAACATAGCCACCTGAAAAATATTCACAAGTATCATGTACTGATTTATTTCACTATATATTTATATATATGTATGTTAACAAAACCTGAGTAACACATTCTTGCTAAAAATTTAGTACAGAAGAAAACGTCACAAATATTAAAACTGATACATTTTAGAGGTGGTTTTGTTTTTTCTTCCTGAATGAAACAAGTATTTGAAAACATATGTTTTCCATAAGCAAAGGTAAGCATAAACAGCAAATTAAATTAAGCCACAGGATGATAATAACTATGGCTTTATAAAAATAAAAATTCAGATTTGGTTTCTTCAGCACCTTATAGATGGCAAAGCTTCTACTGCATTTCTCATGGGTAAAGGATTGAGATTATCAAAATGTATGTAGTCTCTGTAGCATTTTGTACATAAGTTTGCTTTTTTTTGTACAGAGCCATTTGGTTGTTGATTTTTAAAAAAATTAAGTTCCATATTTGATCTTTGCCCTCTTCACATACAGAACTTTTCAATGTGTTTTTCTTTTCTTGCTCTATTTACCATAAGCACATCTTGATAGTGCAATTCTGTAAGATAGCATTTTATGCAAAATTTTATTAATTAAAATATGGTTTACCAGCCAAACCTAAATGTACATATGTCTTTATTACTGAGAAATGTCATTAAGACAAAAGTAAAGAAACATCTTTGTGCAGCATACCTTTATTATTGCAGATTTCATGGCAAAAGCTTTATATTCAAAGGCTTTCAATTTTAAACTAGATCTGCATGCAACTTGGCTGTGAGATTAATACTTATCTTTGATGCCATTTACGATTGAAAACTTAAATATCTGTTGCCTGTGATATTTAAGAAGTACTGTTTCTACTCTGTATCTGATTTTAGAAAAATACAGGTTTTTCATACCTGGTTTTCAGGTAACTGACTTTGAATTCCTACAAGCAAAAGGTCTCTGTGGTTTTTTTTTCTTGAATAGACTTCTAATAAATTTTGCTTGGAGTACACAACCGTTTCCCTTGTCATTTCTCAAAATACATGTAACATATTACTTAAGTGTTGCAAAGCACTTAACTCTTTAAGCTTATATGCAAATAGTCAGTTTGCCTTGTACAGAGATTTTTTTTCCCCACCACCAAACACACACTGGCTATGTATATAGGCAACTAGCATTGCCCACACAGCTCTCAGTTGGTTGTCTTCAGCACCATCCCTACAATACTTGAATACAAAAGCAACATCATGGACTTTCTGCATTGCCTGGGCTAATGCGAGATAAATTTTCTGTTGCCAGAGCCACCCTTCACTCCAGAAGCACAAAGGTAAGATTAAAAACAGTAAGCCTCTTATAGTGGCAAAAGTTCTCATGCCGTAATCCTTTAACAATAGCAAAACAACTCCTCTGTAAGGTGACAGCACAGAAGCAAGATTTAAGGAAAATACAGATATTTGGGGAACGTCTTACACTTGGGACTCTGCCTGACAAACTGAATTATCCCATCCTACTGTCCCTGCCTGCCAACCAACAAAACAAAATCCTGCAACAAGAAGCACAGTAAGCAAGCAGCAGCCTCCCCCACCCTCCATGGGCTGGTAGCACAGTTACTCCTACTGCCTTGGAGTCGCTCTTTGGTCCTTCTCCAGGCCACACTGGCTGCCATTGCCGAGATGCCTCCCCTTAAACACTGCATGTGCCGTACTGCTACCACTCAAGAGAGAAGCACAACAGCAAGCTGCATTTGGACAGGAATAACCTATTTCTTCCTCTCCGATTCATGCTCATTTTTGTCTTTACAATAGCTGACCTGGAAAATGCAAACCACTGACAGCCCTAAGTAAATACACGAGTATGTTGCTTAACCTTCCTGTAGGCAAAGTTAACATTTTAAGACCAGGCACTGCTGTTAAAACTCCCACAGATAAACTCCTTTGTCAGTATAAATGTTGTTGCTGCTGCTGTCTATTTAGACAAGGCCTAAATTTAGTCAGTACTATTATCACTGAGGTAAATGCACCCTTCCAATGGTAAATTAACTTAACATCTCTTCTATACAGCCCTATAACCAAATACTGGAATATACAATCAAACGTGTGGTTCGTCCTTTGTCTTTGCTCGGTGACCCAGCATGGGATGTGGGACATCACTGAATCACTGCTTTGTGCCATATACCTGTAATAACTGTAAGAAATACTATGCTTTAATAGTCTTCTTCTATAAAACCTAGCCTAATAACACCAACTGATTAGTGTAGTCTCATTAATATATAAAAAAATCTGGATGATTAAGGGTCTGAGTGGTTAAGGGGTGAGCTAACTTTGGTAATTGCAAAGGGGATGAAAAGGGGAAAAGGTCATTGTAATAAGAACAGCAAGTCACTGACGCTTGAGGGAAAACTGTAGTGTTAATGTTTTAGTCAAAAATAGATTAAAGTTATACCTAGGTAAACCAGATATATTCAAATGGATTACATCTGCTGAAATCCCACCTACACTATTTAAGAAACAGACTGAAGGATTTTTTTGAGCTTCCCTGTATAATCCTGATATACTCCCACACAAATTCATGAAGGAGACCCCACAGGACTAGTCGGTGCTTTGTCCTTACTGCCAGAGAAAAAGAAACCTGGGGAATTGAGAGCCAGCCAGCCTATGCTGGCTAGTCTATCTAGGAAGAGATCAAAACAAGTCAATTAAAAGCCTGGATTTTTCTAGAAGATGATGTGGCAGACCAATTTCCCTTTATCTTGTCAGGATATGTAGCATACATCTTGATTTCTATGAGGATTTTATTTTAACGCTATGACATGGCAGCTGTGTTAGCAGATGAAGAAAAGTCTGTCAGTCCATGTGAAATCAAGTGTGTTGCGGAGCTGTGCTACATTACAGACAAATAGGTACCGTAACCAGTGTCCCTAAAAAAAAAAAAAAAAAATTAGATTTTACTGCCTACCTTGCAGCAAGCTGTGCATTTGCTATTGAGGCAAAGGCTTCTTAAAACAAGAAAACCCACAAGACACCACCAAGCCAGGCAGACTGATGCATGAGCAGCTCAGGGTTATGATCTAGATCCCAAACCAAGCGAAGGTCACCCCAGCAGGTTTAACATTCTGTCACCCATACCAAAGCGAAGCATGCTGTCATTCTGCAATGCCTGGTATTTACTAGTTGCCTTTTAAATGCTGATGCACAGAACCCAGACAGGAACACGAGATGCTTCCTGTGCATTTGAAACAGCAGTGCATGAGCCAATGGGAAGCTCGAAACATGAATTCAGTAGCTCTAGAAGGACCTTAGGTCATTGCTAAGTATACTCCCTTACAGCATTTGTAGTTACATGGTGAAACCCTGCCTTCGCTCTAGTTAACTCCATTGAAGTCAACAGATCCCACAGTATTGGTAATACAGTTTTGATGTTAGCTTGAAAGGAAAATTCCACAAGAGAGAAGCACTGAAGCAACTGAATGTCCAGTTCAGGCCAGTTTTATTACATCAAAAAGCAAAAGTGCAGGCAGAGACCAGAAACCCCTTCTTTAACTGCTCCCACTACACAGCACAGCAGATAGGTACTAGAGAAGGGAACTAACTGGCAAGTTAACTGAAAGTCAAATTATATGTGGCTCCAAAGCTGCAAAAGCATATAGAAAGTGACAATAATTTAATTTTTAAACATTCAGAACCCCTTGTTATATCCACCAAATATCAAAGACCTGAATCCGCCTATTTTACAGAGCAGGGAACTTGCCAGATAAACATGTAGAAATTGGTACCTTGTCCGTACACAGCAAACAGGGAAGATGAATTTAATGTCTTTCTTCTGCAACTCTACAGGTATTTAATTAATATAATGCTAATTTATTTGACTGGATGCAAAAAAATGCCATTTTACTTTTATCCTCCCCTCAATGGCCAGATAGTTAAGTTCTGACATCCTAGCTAAAAATTGCCCAATAGTCTACAATTTTCATCAATATAGTAAAGTCACATTCCTCTGAAAATTATAAATATTTATATATAGATATATATGCAGAATATTACAGAAATCCACTGAAAGGGAAACAAAAGGATGAATGAACTCCTGTTTACACTACCCCGAGTCAGATACTATTTAGGCCAAAGAAAGTGATACTGGTGACATATAGGCTCTTGTTCATGTGTTTTGTATTACCTCTGAAACACAAGAAGAATAATGGCAGTTTCTAGGTTAATATGCAGCAGTGAAACCAGGGAAGAGCCTGAACAATCCTGCAAGTACAATTTTTAGTGTAATCCTGATGGCTGGTTACACTGTACACCTGCACCCAAAGCTCCCAACTCCTGTTTCATTTGCATCAATGTGAATCCCATATAT